CCTCCAAAACTATCTTTCTGCCTACATTAAAAAAATGTAAAGACCTATTTCTTTACTGTGCCTTTAGCCATCTCTGAATTGTCATTGCTCAGTTTCCACTGCTCCAATTGTTGAACACTTTAAAATGTTCTTTTTCGTAAAAGATGTTATGTAATTGGCTGCCACGGTGTGCCCACAAAATAGACAGTCATTTCACTTTACAGTATGAAGCGCTTTGAGATGTCTTAAAGTCGCGATAAGGCGCTATATCAAATGCAAGAATTATTAATTTGTCATTTTGACATAATCTGGTTTCTGATCTAAGTTTAATTCTGTTTGGGAGATATTTTACATGGCACCATTGTAAAAAAAAAGCTCTGAATGAAAGTAAGCCTGAGAGACAAGCATGCTCAGAGGTTAAACATTAATAATAATCCTTTCATTTGATATAATACCTTATCTCTCAAAGCGCTTCACAAAATATACAGTACTGTAAAGTGGATTGACTGTGTATTGTGTAGGCAAAACACTCACTCCAATTGATTAAAATTAATACAATTTTATTTGTGGAAAAACAATCCCTGAACATATTTCATTATTACACAGCAGTATCAATCTTGTGGCCTAGCTGCTGCTTTTGGTTAAGTGTATAGGTATATTACCTTCTGAGCAGTAAAAGGAGATATGAATACTGTATATATTGTAATATACAGACAAAAAGTAATGATATCTACCCTATCTCTAAAAACAAACAAAAATTTTATCACTTCTTTGAAACTTATTAGTTATTAGTAACTCTTTTTTAGTCACCCTGTATATCCCACCATTCAATTTGCAATTAACTTTGGAAACGCCCTCCTCATCAGCCTTCCCAACTCTTCCCTTCACAAGCTGCAGATCATCCAAAACTCTGCAGCTCGTGTTCTCTCACACACCGTGACCCCCATCACTCCCACCCTCGCCCGACTCCACTGGCTCCCCATACCCCAGAGGATCGAGTTCAAGATCCTCGTCCTCACTTTCAAGGCCATCCATGGCCTTGCCCCCTCCTACCTCTCTGACCTGCTGACTCCCTACCAACCTGCCCGCTCCCTCCATTAATCGGGCTTCAGCCTGCTCCATGTCTCCCGCCCGACCCGCCCTACCATCAGTGGCCGGGCTTTCAGCCTCTCTGCCCCCACACTCTCGAACTCCATTCCACGGTCCCTTCACCTCGCTTCCTCCCTTGCTTCCTTCAAGGCTGGTCTCAAGACCCTTCTCTTTGACCGTGCCTTTGGTCTCCCTCCCGCCTCTCTGCCTTCCCTCACCCCTACACCACCCCTCCCCCATGCTCGGGCCCCAACACCTGACTGTTCAGCGCTTTGGGACGTCCTCCCGACGTAAAAGGCGCTCTATAAATGTAATTTTGTTTTTGTTGTTTTAAAAATAAATTTCACCTATGTTACATTTTAAATCTAGATATGTTTAAGTACTGTGCAAAGGATCCTACCACCCATTCAACATTTGGACTTATTTGTGAGACAGAAGAGCTGAGAGGGATAGGTAGGGATCTAAAATTACCCTTTGCAATCCCCAACCTGTGTCCTCTTGTTCTACTCTCTTGGTGCATCATAAATCCAATAATGATTATTCCTATTATTATAAGTATTGTTCTGAATTTACCTTCTCGATCCCATTTGCAATCTTATAAACAAGCTGTTAAAATGTACATTGTTCTGCAAAACTGCCACATCACATTTTCTGCAGTACTAATTTCTCAGTGGTCAAAATAAGTTTTGAGAGTCAGTTGTTCTTGGCTGTACTAGAAACTGTTAGAAAATCCCCTGTGATGTAAATTTGTAGAACACTTTTATCAAACAAATTGTCATGTGGGTGTCATTCTGATCTGAGCTGCCATCTTTGTCACTAAGGCTAGGCATGGAAAATACTCTCAAGTTTTATTATTAATGGATTTTATAGCTTTTGTATAACTTATGTGAAAACAAAATGTAAAAAGTCAAAGATAACACTCAGTTACCTTGATGTGGAAGGCAGGAGGTCGGCATGTTTATATGAAGGTAGGTAGCGATGCAGTTTCTGCCTGGTTGATAAGATATTTCCAAGAAACCATTCCTCAACTTAAGTCAACTACATTTGTCAGTATTATGAATATATAAAGCACCTTTCAATCTCCAAGTAAAATCCAATTACTTTGGGGCTCCCAAAAATATTAACCAGAACCTTAACTATTTCCTTACTCATCTCCTTGAGGATTCTTAAGAATATTTCATCTTGTCCAAATGCCTCAGAGACATTTAATTCTTTGAGTTTCTACATAACAGATGCTTTAGTGATCTCTCTTTGTATTATCGATTCCCAAGCCAGTCTGGTTATATCTGGAATTCATCCACATGTTTGATTCATAAAGATTTACGTAAATAATCCACTTAACACATCGGTCACATTTCCAACCATTAAAGAGCTTACTTTAGCCTTACCACTCTGCCAACTGTGTGATTGTGGAAGTTAATGATATTGAAACTGTTTGTTAGAAAAACATTTTGACATATACATTCAAGGGTATTTTGAATCCATCTCTGATTCTTTGTGTATTCTTGAACTAGATTCTGGAGTCAACAAACTTCACAAGAGAGAAGGTAACTTTAAACCTTCTGAATGAATATTCTCAATTTCTCTAGAGAAATATTTCACCTTTTTCCTATGATCTGCATTGAGAAATTCTGTCTGTCACCATTTGAGTCATTCACATTATTCCTCGCTGCAAATTATTACAAGATCCATCAAAGAAGATTTCTGGAGAAGTACTGTACCTTAAATAAGTCATGTGTCTGTGTCTCCATTGCTTTCAGTTTCTCATATTTCCCATATATATGTCAATAATCCCAAACTTATATGCAAGAGAATTCTTTTGGTTCAGGCTTCCAGAAAGGAAAACACGGCTGAACGAACTCCCAACGTTCCAGTTGCCAGATGAACTAGTCTAAATGGATGTATGTACTGCGTACTGTGTCAATACAAATGAATTGATTTCAGAGAACCATATGCTAAAAACTGGTACCAAATGACATATGACAGCTAGGATTAGAAACGACTCCAGCTGAATGGGATGAATGTTCCCTGAGAAGTTACTTCAGGAGCTATTGGTGGTTGTGTTATTCGGTGAAAATGAGGGAATAGTCTTTGCTGGCCAACTGGCAAGGTCCTTAACCCTCTAGTGTTAGTTCTCTGAATTCAGCACTCACTAACTCACCTAACTTCATTTCTATAAAACATGCAGGAGTTTGAGATTGAAATAGAAATACTATCTTATTCAGTCTGCTCTAGGAAACATTGATTTAAGAGCAGAAATTCTACTGTTACGATTATGTTAATTTTTTATTATTTTTTGTTAAGATTATGCTGGAAATAGTTGTTGTTAATCTTGATATCAAAATGACCCAGTTTATTTTGGAAATGAATGGTTAACATAATTTTAGCAGAAGGAATAATTATTTCCCGGAGGGCAAATTGTTACTCCATAATTAAACTCAAACATATTATTTTTATTTTAGGAATTAAAAGCTAGGCGTGAATGTCGGGCAAATATGCATATGAAAACTATTAGAATAATTTATAGCAACCCCAATGGATGCCAGGAATCTGCTCCGTGGTTTCTACGACCAGGCTGATTGGAATTGATAATTTCTAAAAAGAACTGTAAAACCTACATTATTTGGTATCGGTTTTTAGAATGTGATTCTCTGGAATTAATTAATTTGTATTGACACAGTACATATAAATTTTGTGCAAAGCAGTGTGATTTAGAAGTCATAAAATGATAGGAAGTGGATTGGCACTTGTAATTCCCCACATTACAAATTCCTGACCTGTGCCATCTGGAAAAGGCTAGGGTGCTTTCCAGACTTCCCATCACACCAAGCACCAAGATCAAAAGCACCATTGACAATACAATGACAAATTACAAAGTGAGAAGGTCACTTAGATCAAGGGAAACTTAAGAGAGTAGAGGGTCACCCAATGAAGGGAATCATTAACTGGAAGGAGCAAGTCATCTCCATGGTTTTGGGAAACTGGAAGAGAACAGGTGAAACGTATTGAACAAATGCAACAGAAAAAATAAATGCATAATGCTAACTACTTAACTCTAACTTTGGACTATATTGAGTCCAAGAACAATAAACAAGCCTTCACTACGGTCTGGTAAACAAGTCTGACAAGAGAATTCAGTTGACAGTTCTTTGGCCCATTTGATTTCATCCTTCCAAAATAGAAACCCTAACATTTTCCTGTTAAAGCTATTTCTTTAATGTGCCTAGCACCCTGATTTCGACCACTTTTATCGGTAACCCAATCCAACTAATGATCACTCTTTGTATGAAGAAACAATTCCTGGTGTTTGTCCAAAATTCAGCTCCTGTTCTGGCCTCCTCCTGTAAGGATGTGGTTCCACGGTCCTGTTGCCCTCCGGTACCCAACCCAAGGGGCATTATTCAGATGTGAGCCTTGGTAATGAGTGTTGGCAGGCCGCTCAACAGCAGACGGTATCAAAGCTGAGTCTGACCTCTCTCCAACCGGCTGCTGCACATGCACACAACGAGTAGACGCACCAGAAGCAACAACGACAACAACAAACTGCATTTATTTATATAGTGCCTTTCACATCGGGAGGATGTCCCAAGGCCCTGGCAGTCCCAAACCAAGAAGTAGGAACCTTGGCTGTCTTTTCCCTCCCTAACCCTGGGAGGCTTGGGCTAGTTTAAGCAACCCCAGCTGAGAACAAACTCAGCATGAACCAGGATTCCAACTAGTGAGCTCATAATCTGTAAACTATTCATTACTGTTCAATCCCTTACACTGTCCCTTCATTCATAATTGTAATGGCTCATTCAATGCGAAATACAAAATTGAATTATTGATTATTTTATTAACAATAAATATTTTGCATAAAACCATGAAAGTACCTTTTTACTTGTTTAATTGTTGATCAATTCACCGAAGAAAGTAAAATGAACAAGTATTACCTTGGGTGCAGAATAGCTAAATGCTAAATTGATGACGGTGTCTGTATGTCCTGATAGTTTGTGAATGAAATTGTTGGAGCCAAGTTCAAACAAGTAAGCCTGTAACAGGAACAACAGAATAGAATCAGTCTTGGTCAATATAGGAAAGAGATATTAAACGTAGTGCCTCAGGAATCTGTACTGGGACCCCTCCTGTTCCTTGCATAAATTAACCCTAACCTGGATTTGCAGACCCAGTGAGACTGATGGGTCGAAGGACTTTCTTCATCCAGACCAATCTTGTGATCAGGTAAATTCATGGACTTTCAAACTGGCTTGGTGTGAAATTAAAAACAAGAGTATTTGTCTCTGGCTATTCCTTACATTCATTTTAGATAAATAATCTTCCTTTTATTTAATTAATGCGGTACATTTCTAAATTCATTTGCCATTACCAAAATACACAGTCACTACACTTTACAGTAAATCCTGTAGAGTTCTTAGAGATACCCTCCTGATATCAAAGGATATTATATGAAATGCAAAAATTATTATAACCATTAAAAGTTAGGTGTAATAATTCACTTCAAGTTTATATCCTATAAACAAATACTGCATTTCTAATTATTACAACACTTCTAAGCTACAGTCTTATCCATCATGTTGTATAAAGTGTCCTGGCCAAAAAATAATTAATTTCCTAGCATTAACATCCTTCATCTTGATAAACTCAAAGATGACTGAAAGTGCAGTCAATGAAGTAGGCCTTGAAATGGACCTTGAAAGAGGTGAAAGATGGATTGAGTTGGAGGGACTCCTGGATGGATTCCCTGCCTAATGTGCAATTTCCGGCTATTGGTCTTCTCAGGACTGATTTTATTTCTCACAAAATAAAGTCATTCACTTCACAGCTGTTTGTGGGACTGTGATGTAAGCAAATTGGCTCCCGCAAAACACACAGTCATTACACTTTACAGTATACCTTATGAAGCGCTTTGGCACATCCTCTTGTCATGAAAGCACTTTACCAAATGTAAGGATTATTATTATTAATTAAATATATTTAAATTAAACCAAGTCAGTGTTGCTGAAAATAAAATACTTTCAACTTTAAAGCAGCAAATCAAAATTGTGAACAAATTGCTCATGTTCCCTTGCTCTCATCTATTTATCTGTTACCTGTAAAACTCAGAGCTAGAGTCTCACTTAAGATGACAACAGGCTGGATTAATTCATAACTCCAGTGACTGGAGTGGGAAATGGAAAATATCATTCTGATAAAATAGCAAATCCCTTTCTGACAATGTCACTGAGGCACATTGTTGGGAGTCAGATCTCCGTCTAGCTATACTTACCTAATCTTGGAGAATTTGATGCGGACATAATTGGAAATGTTTAATTTCCTAGCATTAATATTCTTCATCTTGATAAACTCAAAGATGACTGAAAGTGCAGTCAATGAAGTAGGCCTTGAAATGGACCTTGAAAGAGGTGAAGAATGGATTGAGTTGGAGGGACTCCGGGATGGATTCCCTGCCTAATGTGCAATTTCGGGCTATTGGTCTTCTCAGGACTGAAGATAACACATTATTTGTCCAATTCTGCCAGCAATGATTGGTGGCTTCTCATCTTTCTGATGGGAAGTCAACCAATGTGCAGGAGGTGCAGTGAGAACAAAGTTGCTTTGGTATTTGGCATTAAAAACATGAATCTCACAACCACGGAATGGATAAGAACCTAAGAACATCATATCACTGACTCAGGGGCAGTGGAAAAATAAATCATCATGAATTTGGACTACATAACCTGTTTGTCTTTTGAATTTATATGTTACCATGGCCAATGTCAACTCAAGTCATTTACTTCTCAGCCACCTACTGTTTCTCATCATTCGTTCTTTGCTTAAATTGCTTTGAAACATTACCAACATGCAATATGTTGCTCCTACTGTAGTTTAGATTATAGAAATAAAAAAGATCAGTTAAGCATTTCGTTCCATGACTTTATATTTTCAGACCAGTAATTAATTTTTTAAAGTTAGATCGCACAAAAGAATGTTGTAATGAGAATTTTTGAGGCAGCAAAGATTATGTTTGTTGGCCTAACTGTTCGAGTTGCAGCAATGTGGTTCTTGACAGAGTCGTTTTTGATTTATTAAATCAACTGTACACCCATTAAAGAAAAACAGTTAATTCACAGAAAGCGAGCTTATTCTCACCTTTTCCCATTCCACTTCAACGGTATGGAATGTAAAACACAGTATTTCACTGTCATAGCTCCTGAATGTCACCTCACTACACCCAGATGATAGATGCAGCTGCAGCGAACTCAGTCTGTCAAGAACTAGGTCAACTTGTATGATTTGTGTGAAGAACTATGAATCTAACTTTGTATGAATATTCCCTAGATGTTCTGCGTAGACGCTCAAGTGGAAAGAGTGTGGCTAATCACTCTTTTGTAAATAGTTATGAAACCATGTTTGTAAGTCTTTATTCCTATTTTACATTTGAATCGCGCAAGGCTCCACGATTCCACTGCTCCCATCCTCGCCAGACTCCACTGGCTCCCTATTCCCTAGCGGATCGACTTAGATCCTTGTTCTCAATTTAAAATGCCTCCATGAGCTTGCTCCACCTCATGGAGGTAGGACAGCAAGAGGCCCCATATGTATGTGGCCTCTTGCTGTCCTACTCCCCTGCCCACTCCCTTCACTTCAACTCTCCCTCCTAACATCCCCAGTTCTGACGAAGGGTCATGGACCCGAAACGTTGACCCACTTACCTTTCTCCGTAGATGCTACCTGACCTGCTGAGTGTTCCCAGCGATCTCTGTTTTTGTTTCAGATTTCGAGCATCTGCAGTATTTTGCGTTTTACTATATATTATTTCTATATAATTGTGGTTGAATCAATGAAACTTTAAGTATAGTTTGCAATGAATACTTATTTCAGCGTAGAATTGTATATATAATAATTCTTGCATTTGATATAGCGTCTTATCATATCATTGAGTTTTCTGTAAGGTATAGGGACTGTGCATTTGTATGCGAATACAGCAGTGTGACTATCATCACACATCATCACAAAGAGTTGGATTGGCTCTGCAGAGTTTGGGAATAATGTAGGAAGGCAGCACAAATAAAACCTCTCTCTTGTTACTAGACTCATTTCAGTCCAAAGTGATCAAGATAAATGGGCTGGATCAGCAAGGTTTACGCTATACAAGAATCTGTCTCCACAACATTGCAGAACTGTGGCCAGATCATCAGTCCCACAGTGGCAGCATCCCAAAAGTTGCTGGTGCTTACACCAGGCTTCTATGTTTATGTCACAGGCACAAGACCAAGGACAGCTGCACATCAACATTCTGTATCAATCCAACAAATCAATCAACCAGTATTAAGCACTGTTTCGAACAGAACTGTGGAAATCATAGCAAAGGAGAAGGCCACTTAGCCTACAATGGTGTTATTTCATCCAACTAGAACTCCACTAATCCCAATTCCTTGCTCTTTTCCCCATATTGTTTTATACTTTTCCTCTTGGAATGTTTATCTAATTCCCTTTTAAATGCTATTATGATCTCAGCCTCAATGACCACTTTTAGGAATACATTCCATAGCCTCTGTCTGCAAAAACCCAGACAATGTTGTCGTCTGCAACAATCGTAGCACACAATAGCTCATGGAAAAGCTTGAGAGTTGCCTTTTGCTCCCTTAGCACACGTTTATGTGCCTTTCATTTGCCAGCAAAGCTTGTTTCTGTCCCGCGAGGCACAGCCAGTTGTTTCGTCATGTGATTAGACTCACTTTTCAAAATATTATCTGCAATGTTTATTATTATGCATGAAAATTATGAATCACTCTGTTTCTGATTGATCAATCATTTTAAAGTTAAGGGAACAAATGCACTCATTTAATTCTCAGCCTTTTGTTCTTTTCTCCCCTGTTTTAAAACCTGAATTACCTTGTAAATCAAATTCAACTTTAAGGCAATTGACAGACGCAAAATTCAAGAAAGCTGGCTCAGACTCTTTTATAAGGACACAGGAAAATTACCAAGATAAATCCTTTATTAATATGAAACGGAATCCCGCAACTCCATATCCATGGTTGAGATAACTAATTATTATGTAAGCCGTAAAGGCACTTATGATGCCTGGCTGAGTTTCAGAGGATTATGTTGATGTATATACATAAACTATTCACTGTATATCTGGACATTTTACATGAACCAAACCTTTAGAGAAACAAAACAACAGGCATGTTGCACAGTTGATGAAACACCTTAAATATTGTATTAACAGTAACCTGGACAAACTGACGACAAGTATAAGTCATTTTGCTATAAGTTACAATTATTTGAAAGAGATAAGTGAGATTTTGGAGATGGTTTTATTATCTCAGACTCAAATCTTTGGGTTAACATGTCAGCCTAGCTAAGTTGGTAGCAGTCTCATCTCTGAGTCAGAAGGTTGCTGGGTTCCAAGATAATGTTCAGACTTTGAGCTCAGAGTTTGGCTAACGTTCCAGTGCAGTGCTAGGAGAGCATTATATTTTCAGATGAGACATTAGAGGCACTTTTGGAAAAGAGAAGGGAGCTTCTCCCATATCCTGGCCAACAATTCCCCAAATAAAATTATTTGCTTCATGGCTATTTGTGGAATATCGCTGTGCGCAAATTGGCTGCCACATTATCTACATTATACACCACCACTGCACTTTGCAGTAAATCCTGAGACATCCTCCTGTTGTGGAAGACACTTCATCACATGTAAGGATTATTATTATCATTTATAATTTACAAAGTTCTTAATGGCAGCCATCTTTTGTTTTGGTTGCCCGTCAATGTGAAACAAATGTTTTTGCCAATAAAGCATATAAGGTCACATTGTTCTTACTTCAAATTCGCCCAGTTTAGTTCTTTGTCTCTCTTTGCTGGAGGTGGAAGTACTTTGTTGAAACTCCTCCTCAACATCCAGAAAATACTGTGTGTCTTCTGCTTGCTGGCATTACAGATTCTATCATTTTACAAGGTAGGCTTTTGTGATAGGAACATAGGAACAGGGGGAGGCTATTAATAATAATAATAATCTTTGCATTTGATATAGCGCTTTTCACGT